CATTTAAGGGAAAGCTAACCCCTATCCTACACAGACTACTGCAAAAAATCCAAACAGATGGAAGACTCCCAAACTGATTTTATGAGGCCAGCATCATACTAATCCCAAAACCAGACAAAGACACAACAAAGAGAGAAAACTTCAGGCCAATATTGCTGATGAACATAAATGCTAAAATCCTCAACAAAAAATATTGGCAAACAGCATCCAACAATACATTAAAAAGATCATACACCATGACCAATTGGGATTCATTCCAGGGATGCAAGGATGGTACAATATTCACAAAGCAGTAAATGTAATACATCACATAAACAAAAGCAAAGACAAAAGTCACATGATCATATCAATAGATACAAAAAAAATTTGATAAGGTACAGCACCCATTTGTGATAAAAACACTCAGCAAATAGAGGTAATAGAGGGAGCATTCCTCAACATAATAAAGGCCATACATGAGAGACCTACAGCCAACATCATACTCAATGGGCAAAAACTAAAATCTTTTCCACTAAGATCAGGAACAAGACAAGGCTGTCCACTTTCACCACCTCTATTCAATATAGTATTGGAAGTTTTAGCCACAGCGATCAGACAAGAAAAGGAAATAAAAGCCATCCAAATCAGAAAGGAGGAAACCAATCTCTCACTGCAGATGACATGATAATGTATGTAGAAAATCCTACAGACTCTACCAAAAAACTGCTCGACCTAATAAATAAATTTGCCAAAAGAGCAGGGTACAAAGTCAATATCCAGAAATCAAAGGCATTTTTGTATTCCAACAATGAAACAGCAGAAGCAGAAATCAAGAAAAAAAAATCTCATTTGCTATAGCAAAAAAAAAAATAATAAAATACCTAGGGATAAACCTAACCATGGAGGTAAAAGACCTGTATTCAGAAAACTACACAACACTGAAGTAGGAAATTAAGGAAGACACAAACAAATGGAAACATATACTATCTTCATGGATTAGAAGAATTAACATCATCAAAATGTCCATACTACCCAAAGCAATTTACATATTCAATGTAATACCTATTAAAGTACCAATGGCATATTTCACAGACATAGAACAAACACTTCAAAAATTTATATGGAATGATAAATGACCCCAAATAGCTGTTGCAATTTTGAGAAAGAAAAACAAAGCAGGAGGGATCAAAACACTTCATATCAAACTGTATTACAAGGCCGCTGTTATCAAAACAGCCTGGTACTGGCATACAAACAGGCACATGAACCAATGGAACAGAACAGAGAGCCCAGAAATAAACCCAAGCCTTTACGGTCAATTAATATTTAACAAAGCAGGCAGCAACATAAAATGGAGTAAAAATAGCCTCTCCAACAAATGGTGTTGGGGGTGCTGGACAGCGACATGCAAAAAAATGACACTTGAGCACCAACTTACACCATACACAAAAATAAACTCAAGGTGGATAAAAGATTTAAATATACACCGTGACACCCTTAAAGTCCTAGAGGATTTTAGGCAGGAAAATCTCAGGTATTTCACACAGCAACATTTTCACTGATATGCCCCCTAGAGCAAGGGACATAAAGCAAAGAATAAACAAATGGGATCTCACCAAAATAAAAAGCTTCTGCATGACTAAAGAAAACAGTATCAAAATAAAAGGAGAACCAACCGTATGGGAAAACATATTTGCCAATGATACCTCAGACAAGGGTTTAATCTCCAAAATATATCAAGAATGCAAGGGTGGAGTTATGCAACTCCACTCTAAGAAGACAAGCAACCCAATTAAAAAATGGGCAAAGGACTTGAACAGACACTTCTCCAAGGACAACCTACAGAGGATCCAGAGACACATGAAAAGATGCTCAATATCGCTAGCTATCAGAGAGATGCAAAATAAAACCACAATGAGATACCACTTCACACCAGTCAGAATGGCCATCATAAACAAAGCAACAAACAACAAGTGTTGGAGAGGTTGTAGAGAAAAGGGAACCCTAGTGAACTGTTGGTAGGATTGCAGACTGGTAGAACCACCATGGAAAACAGTATGGAACTTCCTCAGAAAACTAAAAATGGATCTGCCTTTTGACCCTGCAATTCCACTGCTAGGATTATATCCTGAGAACCCTGAAACACCAACCCAAAAGCACTATGCACCCCATTGTTCATAGCAGCACAATTTACAATAGCCAAGTGTTGGAAGCAACCTAGGTGTCCATCAGTAAGTGAATAGATAAAAAAAAACTATGGTACATTTACACAATGGAATTCTATGCAGCAGAAAGAAAGAAGGAGCTCCTACTTTTTGCAACAGCATGGATGGAACTGGAAAGCATTATGCTAAGTGAAAGAAGCCAGGCAGTGAAAGAAAATACCATATGATCTCACCTTTAACAAGAACCTAAACAACAAAACAAACAAACAAGCAGAATATAACCAAGGACAATGAAATAGAGAACAGGCTGACAGTGACCAGAAAGGAGAGGGGAGGGAATTTCAGGGTAATTTCAGGGGAAAAGGGGAAGGGTTTATAGGAGCAAGTACAAAGGACACATGGACAAAATCTAGGGAGGGGTGGAAATGGGAGGGAGGTGTGGAGGACTGGGGAGAGGGGTGAGCTGGGATGGGAGTAAAAGGCCGAAAACTGTACTTGAACAACAATTAAAATAAAAAATCCTTTTAAAAATGTGTTCCTAAAATCCATTTATTACCACAGTAAAACATAGTTACATGTCTTAATTGTCTAAAAAGCCAAGAAACTTCAAGAGGAAGTAAAGAATATGGTCCTGGAAGTAGTGCATTAAGTAATTAATAGTGTGGACTCTCGAAAATGACAAATATTTTAAGTTCCAGTGCCACCACTAGATAGCTATTTGTCCTTGGTCACCCAACATTTTCTCTGTGTCTGTTTCCTCTGCTCCGTAAAATAGAAATAACAACAATAGCATAACAATAATGTAATACTTATCTCATAAGATTGTGTGAATTATGTGACATAAAGCACTTTGAAAGTTGCCTGTATATTTATGCTCAATGTCTGTTAGAATTGTTTGTGCTGCTATTTGTTTTCTCAGATGATAGAGTTTAAATGGTGTGAACTCACTCATATGTCCATGAATTATTAACCCTGCTTCTCAATTTACTAGTTGTGTGACCTAGAAAAAGTTACAAATTTCTTTAAGCATCAAATTTCTTTATCTGTTAAAGAGCACAATTATGTATCTTTAGCACAGGGTGAATAGGAGGATTAAGTGATATAATCCATGTAATAAAGTCTTTATAAAAGTAAAAAAAACTAGAGAAATTGAATTAATTTCTTCTAAATACACTTTTGTCTATCAAACTGGCTTAAACAGAAACAAAAAAAATTAATAAACATATACTGAATAAATGTAATCAATAATTTAAAATGTCCCCCAAAAGAAAACTTTTGGCTGCACAGTTGAATGCTTTCAAACATTTAAGTTAGAAATACCAAAAACCTTCAACAAAATTTTCAGAAAATAGAAAAAGAGAACACTTCCCAACTTATTTTATGAGGCAAACATAATCCTGCTACTAAAGTCTGCAAAGAGTATTATAAGAAAAGCAAATTATAAGTTCATATCTCTCATGAACATAAACACAAAATTCTTAAACAAAATAAAATAAAACTGAATGTGTTGATTTTTGAGAAGGATAATGCATCTGACCAAATGAGTTTTATTCCAACTATCTACCTATTTACCCATCATCTATCACCTATCACCTATCTATCCCTTTACATAGATACAGAAAAAGTGTGTGACACTTCAGCCATATAATGATTAAACTCTCATACTTAATCTTATAGAGGGTGTCTAAAATAAAAAAAACTATATAACATATTAATATTAAAACATAATATTAAAGTTATACTTAAAATATATATTACTCTGATCTCTTTTTTTTTGCTTTGTAATCAGTATATTAAGGAGACATTCATACATTTCAAGAATTGCTTAAATTCTGATATTCAGACTTGAGCTTGTAAACATGACTTTTAAACACACAATTAAAGCTATTCATAATTTGCTGTACTACCAACATTAAATTACAGTTATTTTGGAGCATAAGTTAAATGGCTTAAAGTAAGCCTGTAACATACCTAAAACAAATTAAAACAAAACAAAACGAAAACCTTCCTATTTCATACATGCAAATTACTTTTCCATGTAAAGGTCTCATCACTCAACTTTTAAATTAGCCTGCTCCAGAAGTCACTACTCTAAGGCTTATAATCTAAAGAGAAGGAAAAAAATGTAACTAAGGACTGATATAGTTATATATATATATTTTTTAAAAGATGTCACTACAGAAGGGAATACAATTCTACAAGTTCAAGCCCTCAAGAAGCAAGTTATTATGATAAACCCCTACTTCAGAAAGGTATTGTTTCTATCACTGATACCACAGGTTAAATTATATGGCATGCCACCTCCAAGTAACAGTCGAGGCAATAAATGCAGAGGCATTACAATGAATCCCACTTAATGCAACTATACAAACTAACACTTTTCTATAAATTAAGTTTTTTGTCTGACTGCCAGTTAAATACGGAAGTTTAACTTCAGAGCTTAACAATTAAGAGTCACACACCAAAGTCAATACATATAACCTAGCAGTTCAATCTAAGCTATTCCATGTACATAGCTGAAATTAATTACAAAGTATGGCCTAACAAATGCTAGGGGGAAATTTTTTCTTAAATAGTTTTTACAGATATTAAACTTTTCTTGCACACTTAAGTCATTATACATACAGGGCAAAGTCAGAGCATTTATATTTTGGGTTTATTCTTCATTTAACTTTTAAAACACTACTATAGTTGAATATTAAAACAAAAAATAATAGCAAGTAGTGAGCATATTATGATTATAGTCCTTCACTCATTCACTATTGTATATAAAATGCCAGCAGTGAGTATCATTCACTGGCCACATTAAGAGGTCTGACACTGAACACCATCCATATGATGATGTTCATCATCCTCTTATACTTCTTCGTTGTAATGCCACTGCCTTTCTTGATTTGGATCAAAGTCCACCAGTTCTACCTGGTCCATTTCATCAGTCTCTTCTACTTCCTTCCTTCCAGGTAGAAGTTTTTCCAGCAAAGAGTGGTTATCAGGAGAGAGAAAGCCATGCTCAAGAGAGTTTACCTTAAATTTGATGATTAGGCGACCCTTTTCATATGGTCTATGATAAATTGGCATGCCTTCATTCAGCACACACTTGATATCTCCATGCTTGGCAATCTGGCCTGGATGAGTGGTGGCTCGATTGTCAAGAGTAGCTATTGGCTTTTGGAAGCCACACAATGCTTCAATGTCCATACACAATGCTATATATCCATACACATGAAAAGGTCTTCTTACAGAGTGAAAACAGTATGGTCCTTCTGATCTAAAACAATGATAATATCTCCTGGCTCTAGTCCTGGTTCTTGTTCTCCTTCACCACGGAATGTTATCTTCTGGCCATCTTTCATGCCTTCGTCAATATGAACTTCTAGAATGTTCTCTCGAACTATCTTCCTTCCATTGCAACTTTTACATCTATCTTTGTGACTGACCCATTCGCTGTGGCCCTGGCACTCCATGCACACAGACTGAATTTGCTGAACCATTCCAAGTCCTATCTGATGAATTCTATTTTCGTCCCAGTAACTCAGCATTTGGGACAGCACTAGACTGCTCCTTTCTTACCACCTCAGCCTTCACATTTGTCACAAATCACATTCTTTTGCAGAGCTAGTTTTCTTGTCACACCATTATATAAATCTTCTAAGGTCACCAAAAGCTGACGCACAACATTTTTACCTCTCCTTTCCCTCTGCATCCTTCCTCCTCCAAAAAACATATCAAAGATGTCTATGGGGGAGCCAAAACCACCACCTGCTCCACCTTCTTTAATTGCCTGTTCTCCTTCTTTATCATGTAATTCCCTTTTCTTTGCATCAGAGAGTTCTTTGTAAGCTTGAGAAATCTGTTTAAACTTCTCTCCTTCATTTATATTTTTATCAGGGTGGTACCTCAAGGCCAGCTTCCTGTAAGCCTTTTTCAATTCTTCCTGGGTGGCATTGGGTTTGACCCCTGAAACATCATAGTAAGTGGTTTCCTTCATCATTTTTGACAGCCAGTGAGCAGGCAGAGGCAGGTGTGAAGGAGTAGGAAAGAGCACGTTACTGCACGCAGCTTTGAAAGTTGCTGCTCCTCAGCTTCTCACTGAGTGTTCTTGAAAGTTCCTCTTTTTTTACTATACTGTAAATGTTATGTAATAGAGTAAGCAAAATAAATATTAGGTAAAAGAAAGATAAGAAAGAAGTGAAGCTATTTTTATTTACATATGACATAATTTGTTAACCACATACTCCAAAATGAAACTAAGTTGATGATTCAAACTAATAAGTGAATTTTTAACAATCACTTCATTAAAAATCAATATGCAGAAATCAATTATATTTATATGTTAACAAAATTCTAATTGACATTAAAAACATCAATTGTGTATACATAAATATATACATAAGCACAAAATTAAACATTCTAAATTATTACTGAACAAAAATAAAGCAGAATACAATAATCAGTGAGATATATGCATACTTTGAAAGATTCGTCATTTACTGTTGCTGATAATATCTATCTCTCCTATTATCTTTCTAGAACTCTTATTTGGTTTTTAGATCTCTTAGAGTTTGCCTATAGTTTTCTTATATCTTCTATTTTCTGTATTTTTGTTCTTTTAATCTACTTTCTGGAGCATTTCTTCAATCTTTCTATTAAGATTTTCATTTCTGCTTTTATATTTTTATATGCCTAGGGATACCTTTTGTATTCTATATCTTGAAAAAAAACGAACAAAATAATATATTCTTAAGCATGTTACAATGAATGTAATAAATTACATTATCTAAGAACATTAATAGCCTGTTTTATTTTTATTTTTATTTAATGTCTCTTGTTTCCTCCAAGTTTTGTTGTTGTTTTATTGACTTTCTTTTTATTTTTACCTCCATCATTTTTAGAGCCTTTTTTGAGTCCATGGTAATCTTTGGTTGTCTGCTCATATTTAAGATTGGTGCTAACAATTTGAAACTCTGAGCCTGTGAACTTTGCTTTTTACCATGGAATCTTATTCTGGAGTTGGGGGTGTAGGGGATGGGAGATCTAGCTTTGAACAGTTTTTTAGAAAAACCCTGATATCTGTGTCTTTAGGTTCTTTTCTTCATCTGATCAAATTTCTCATAAAAGATTCTTCCAACATCTTCTACAATCCTGAAAATAGAATAGGAAAAGGGACCTACAGATATAAATATTAATTTGATCATCATATTTTTTAGAGTTGTATCACCCCCCAAAAATGCTCCTAGTGTATCCATGTCCAGAAACCACACATACTACAGTGAACATTTAATATTCTGAGAAGCATTTTGTAAGAGCAAGAAAATCTGTGACTCTCATGCAGTGCTGCCCAGGGAAGTCCTTGTTGTGGGGCTTCATTTAGACAGGCTCTGCTCTTGTTCTTTACCAGCATCACCATTTCATGCAGAGTAAGGAGCTTTGCAAGGTGAAGTGGATGTGTCTGTCTGGAGTGTATGACTCCTCTTCTAGATCATGGCTTGGATACTTAGGACCCTGAATATCCTGCTTCAATGGCCATAGTGTCTATTTGGGCTTCACATTGAGTCTCAGCCTCAATTCCATCCTCATGGAGACAGACAGTGCTGCCACTGGACATGCTCCTAGGTCTCCAGGTAGACTAAACAGTGGCTATTTGTGTGTATTGGGCTCAAAGCTTGCATATAAAGTGTGAGATGAAGATTGGTGAGGAAAGAGAAAGAGACAGTTGAAATATGGTCTAGGACAAAGGCTTGAACTTCTCTTATAGCCACATTCCAGGAAGAACCCTGTGGAATCCAATTATGCTAAATTCAAAGCCAGTCTTCAGTGTGGTGATTGCTGGGGGAAGGGGCATATAAGGAAACTAAATGATAATGGGAAAAGAAGTACAATAAAGATTAAATTTTTAAAAATCCAGTCCTCTAGTTTGTTATGAAAGCATATGTGTCAAGGTAAGAAGGTAAAATATTATTATTTAACATATTTTGTTTGATTTAATATTTAAAATATGATTTGTGACCTGTGTTAGTTTACTGACATGAACTAGCATAGACTGGGTGGCTTAAACAATAGACATTTATTTCTCACAGTTTTGGATGCTCAAACTCCATGATTCACAGTGTCAGAAAGCTTGGTTTCTTCAAAAGACTCTTTCTTTGGCTTGTAGATGTGCATATCATCTCTGCTGTCTCTTTGTGTGTCCAAATTTCTTCTTCTTAATAGGAAACCAGTGTCAAAGATCAATAAAGCCAGACATTAGTTAAAGTAGTGAAAACAGATTTGTTCAGTAACTACCTGCAATAACGGAAAGAGCTGAGGTACATTCTACTCTGTGTAAAGGTTATTGGATTTTTTAAAAAGAGAATGAGGATGTAGGAAGAGAAAACAGACTCAAGTAAAAAATTACAGTATCAATGTAAATGAAATTAAGGTAGCTACCATATTTTAGGACCATAAGACACACCTAGGTTTTAGAGGAGGAAAATAGGAAAAAAATTTTGAAGCAAAAAATGTGGTAAATTATTTAATAACCTGTGACCCTGCCCCACCGCTGCCCTCCCCCAAAGTCAGGTAAACTACATTTGGACAATAAGATATATCCCCCTTTTCTCCCAAAATTTCTTGGGGAAGTGTGTCTTATAGTCCAAAAAACACAGGTATATCCACTATAGCAAATATGGAAGTTAGGATTTTATCTTCCCACAGAAACTGGGTGACTGAGACCCTATCTTTCTGGTGATCACATTTCAAAGGAATGGCTTTCAGGCTCCTGAGAAAGACAGGAGCCTGAGCTGTAGTATATACATACACATCTCAAAGAGACAGAGTAAGAATCCACAATAATAAATGCTCCAAGAAAGAGAGGTCTAGCCTCCAGTATTGGCTAAAATAAATACTAAATAAGTTTCTCAGGAAGGCTTTATAATGGAAGGCTGGTGTCATCCAAAGGATGTAGGATTATGCTGCTAGAAGCCATGCTGGAGTTTGGTGACTCTCAGTGCAGGAGTTCTGAGAATCATTATTTGTCCAGAGTTCTAAAATTCTCACCAGTCAGGCTGAATTAAGGCCCCCTAAGGACCTCATTTTAACTTACTCTTTAAAGGCCCTCTCTCCACATACAGTGACAGTCTGAGGGACAAGGTAACATTTCAGTACATGGATATGAGAGGACACAAATTGAGGGGCATCACCAATTTCAATTCTGCAGTGATCCCTATGAGCTCCTAACCTAAGCACAGGCCTACTTCTGCTCACTTTTAATTTTACACATATATTTGACATCACTTCCAAAGATTCTTGTGGCTAAAAATTCTTTAGTCCTGTAGGATACTGCATTTCAATCTTGATTCCATTTTCTTAGGTGACCTAATTTAGTTGCTACTTATGTTTTATAAGTTCTTTGTATTCATTTATAAAATATATTATTTATATTTTCATAATTCTGACTCTTTTTCCATTTTTTTGTCTTGTCAGTTAGGCTTTTAGAAAAAAATTTTCCCATGTAGTTTAAGTGGGTCAGAGTAGTAAAAACAAACTCATATGTTCAAAATGATGATTCTTTCTTTAAAGATTATTTTAGTATTCAAAATGTCTACTGACTGAATTTTTTCATTGAGAAAATAAAGTATTTATAGTAGATCATCCTAAGGACTATGGGGCATAAAAAATTTTCTTTCTTCCCAACTTCTAAGTTATTTTACCAGAGCTAATAATCAAATTGAACAATGACATTTAACAGGAAAAAATGTCCAAAGTTTATTATATGAATGTACATTCAGGATGTCATAAGAATGAGACCCAAAGAGGCACTAGGAAGTAGAGGTTTATATGCCATTCTGGAACTTTTGCTGGTGGAAGTAGGGCTCTTCTGTGGAGTCACAACGAAAGCATTTCTGGGACTCACACATAGGAAGATAAGGTATAGTGGTAAGATTTATTTGAGCAAAACCAAAAGATTACCCCCAAGTGCCTGGTGTCTTATACATGACCAGATAGTTCAGGTCCATCCCACTGTGGAAGAAGTCCAGCCTCTGGGGCGTCAGACCTTCACTTGTCTTTACCAAGCCCAGAAGGGCCAGGGTACAGAGATGCAGAAATTAGCTTTGTCTCATTTCCCACTAGCCCAGCATCAGCAGGAATCTGAACCTTCTGTGGGTCAGTTTGATCTCTGTCCACCTCTGGACAGAGGCCTGTGCCACAGCTGGTGCTGTGCTGCTGGGAGTCACCTGAATGCCAGGTTCATGTGGCTGCCAGGTGCACACCACTGCACTAGAGAGGGTGTATGCAAAGGAACAGGTAAATATGTGCTACCCAGGGGGGACTTTGCTAAGCTTTAATTATATTACCTTGGGTCAGGAAAGGAGTAGGTTTTCTTCCAAACTAACTAATCTCGTAACTTGTTCTTCACGGGCTTGTGCTGAGTCTTCCCCCTACCCAATTTTTTTCTTAGATCTTCTGGGGTTTCAAGCTCTCATCCTCCGCTTTATGGTCAGGTTTCTACTGCACATGTCCCAAAGTTCTGCTGTGGCCATCTGATTTCCAATGCACATGTGCTTAACTCCCCCCACCCATAGTAGGGGCAAATGGACTAGCCATATCCTGGGGAAATGGAAAAGTCAGTCCTTCCTCTGTACACAGAAAGATAGACATATTAAGGACTGTGCAAAAGGGGCAGTAAGGATGTTTTTAGGCCAACAGGTAAGGTCCCCGGGCTTGGTGCAGGAGACCACAGCTGTGGTGTGGGGCATCACAGGAGAGACAGTTCAGTTACAGCAGCCTAGCAGTTCCCTCTTTTCCCAGGGCAAGTAAGTCCCAGACCTGCACCAGGACAGACCTGGACACATAAAAAGTTGCTGGGGAGGAAAAAATAGTAGCAAGCAACACACAACTAGGGGCATGGCATACCCAGGTGAGGGCGGTGGTTGCTAGCCCAGACCTTGCTAGAGAATTTTGGGGATCTGGTGTCACCTGAAGCAAGGAGAGGAAGTGGGCTGCAACTGGTGG